TTTTTCAAAGATTTCATCTCTCTTTCATTTATTTCCACTTTTTCCTTGCTCGATTTATCGAAAAACGCAACATTTAACAAAATGCGAGCTTCGGAACATCGTAGAATCATTTTCAAAAATATTTTGAAAGAGAGGGTTTCAAGGTCTAAAAATCATTTTAGTCAAAATCATTTTGGTCTAAAAACGGGTTGTAAGGTTGGGATTTGACTCCCTCCTTGCCGAAGAAATCAAACCCTTGCACTGCACAACTTTTATCACCAAGTAAACCATCAGTAGCACCCAAGTATTAAGGGCGGTCAAAAACGGGGTATCTATAGTCTATTCATTGTATATACGTTGTATTAGATAGAGCCCATTAATTCATTCTTTAACATTCAGGAAGAGAGAAATTGAGTCGCAAAGAGAGAAAGGCCGAGAGACAGAGAGACAGAGACAAAGAGAAAAAAAGGAACTCAAGGCTTGAGAATTGAAGGAAGAACAAAGGAGAAGAGGGTTTTGTGGGATACCAAAATTCAAGTTAAAAATTGTGGAAAAATCATCTTAAGGTATGAAATTTCATCCTCTTTCTAGTATAGTTTAAATAATCTAGACATAAATTGATTCAAGATGGATTTTGAGAGGATTAAAAATGAAGATTTGAAGATTAATAATATAAATTGATACGAATTGGGTTTTGCATCAAAAATCAAGTTTGGTTGAAGAATATGAGCTATGATTCCTTAAATTTGTTAAATTTGGGTTCAATTTTGAGAATCATTCTTAAATTAAGTTCTATAAATTACATGCAACAAGAAATGTTTGAAGATTGGATCCATGCAATGGAGTATGTAGATGATTTTGAAGAAAAAGTTATAAAAATTATGAGTTCATGAAATTATTGGTTTAATGATCAATTTGATGGTTGATTTGGAGATTGAGATTTGGGTTAATCTAGGTTTAAATATGATGTAAAAATTGGAGATTTTGTGTCACGACCCCATTCCGCCCCTAGTAGAATGGTGCCGTGATGGCCAGTAATCCGAGATTACCGAAGGCCAACTTTCAAAATTCACACACAAACAGAGTATACATATGGGGCTTACACATGCGGAAGCAATAAATTCAAAACTAAGTAGTCCATAAGAGCAGTGCATAAGTTAAATGGAATGGCATACATCATTACATAGCTTTAATACAACAAAAGGGAGTACAAAAATACATCTTGACCAAAAGGCTTCTCAAGCCGACATATACAAAACACAATGAAATATAAGCTGAGAAGCATGATCTTCAAGATGTTACAAAAAAAAATACGAATCCGAGACACGTCGGCAAACACATCCGAAACACGTCGGTAACACATCTAGGCCTCATCACCTTCTTGCTCATCACCTACATATATATAGAGAAGGTGAGCTTGGATACTCAGTGAATGGTACAAGTAATAAAGGGTTTGCATGTATGACATCCAAGATCTTTAACAAAACAATCCATAATCATAGCTTATGACAAACATTGGATAAATCGAGTTCATCTAACAAATCTATCGAGCCTCATCAATCAAAGTCTTTCAAGTTTCATGGGTGACATTAACAAAGATTGTGCTACAAATGCTTATAGTCCCCTAGCATGTACGGACTTTCAAGAATTATGCTACAAATGCTTATAGTCCCCTAGCACGTACGGACTTTCAAGGTTGTGCTACAAATGCTTATAGTCCCCTAGCACGTACGGACTTTCAAGGTTGTGCTACAAATTATTATAGTCCCCTAGCACGTACGGACTTTCAAGGTTGTCAAGATCAAAACTAATACTTGATACACAAATAGGGATAGTCATTCATGCTTAGCAAATACTTTTCAAAACAAACAAAACTTTATCAAAACTTTATAACATAATGAACTTCAACTAATTCATACACAGCTTTCCTGCTAACTAGTAGTTTCTGCTTAAAAGTTTATGATTCTGAATCCTCTTTGTTGGATAGAAAAAGGTTTCCTCACAATACAAACACAAGGATTCTTATACCAAGTCATGAAGCCAAATTCAGATTCTCATTGCAAATTCATAGTTGAATAATAGAAGTGGAATTTTGTACCATAAAAACAACTGAGAGAACTTTTTGGTGCTTCTCCAACCCTGAGTGATGAATCCTGTCACCCACGTCTGAACGAGGATTATCCTTTTTCACTCTTATTTTAACTGCTCTCCTTCGGGGCTTGGGATTTTTGAATTCCTTCAATGTGGGTGAGTAAAGTTCTCTTTCTTTTAAAAATGTTCCCAAAGGTTCTACGAATTCAAAAACATGGACCTGGGTACCCATACTCGAAGATCTTATGAAAACAAACACAAAAGCATGAATCTTAATGCAAACTTTCGGATCAAACAAGGCTTTTATTCAAGAACACATGAATACTACTTTCTCTTTCTAAAACCAAACTTTCAATCAATGCATGGCTTGCAAATCAGGTTCGATCATGCAATGCAGCTAGATGACTAACAAGAACAACAAGAGTAGGTCAAGAATCTAACCTTAATACACGAATCTGACGGTTAAATCTCTAAGAATCAAGCTCGAAGATCCACTCCTTCACTTTAAAACTCCTTCTTCCTTCTAGAGCTTCTCTCTCTCAAGGCAAAGATATGATACAAAATGATAGGTTCTACCCACTGCCAGCTGATTTAACACTCAGCTCGGACATGTGGCAACGGCTGGTTGGTTCTCCCCGAAAAGGTGACTGACAGACCAGACAAAGTATGGCGAAAGGGTGTTTAACAAGTAAAGCGGCATGGCACTCTGACAAGGTACTAACATCGGGTGAAAACATCGGCTCCGGTAGGTGAGGTATCTATGATCCCGGCTAGGACGGACAACACTTGGCCTAGCTGTGCCACACCTCGGCCTAGATGTGCCACACCTCGGTCTAGGTCGCACCAATCCGGAACAAGATCACTTGGGTTCAAGGATAACATCTCGACCTAGATGATACACTTCTCGGCCTTGATGATACACCTCGGCCTAGAAAATGACATCTCGGCCAATATGCCAGGACGATGGTAGAGGCCAACCAAAGTGGTTCCAAGGCGGTTCTGGCTTTAAGGTACCTCGGCTAGACTCACTAGAAAAGAACAAGACTCAACAAGTAAATTTCACATAAGTACAAACCAAGACAAAATCTCATTCTAGTTAAGAGAAGTCAAGAAAATTCACTACTGCAACTTAGCAAAACAAGATTAGACAAATGCTCATGCCCGAGGCTAAGGTGAGGAATGAGGGTCACTACATTTTGGTGTTAGGAAATTTATATGTTGAAATTGATTTGATAAATGGTAGATTTGGTATCTCTATGTTCTATAAACGATTTTGGAGGAATTTTATTAATGATTGAAGTGGTTTTACCTAAGTTGCTGAGTTTATGAAAATGTTGATTTTTGTCTTTTGTGGTTTAATTGATGGTGGTATTGTGCATATAAATTAGTTGGATATTTAGAAAGGTTAATAACTCAAAAATGTACAAAGGATGGGTGTTGTGGAGATTGGATAAGAAATTTGTTTGGGTGACTTGAAGTTGGAGGAGTTCTTTAGCTTGTCATTTCGTAACATGTCTTATTTAGGATCAATTTTGTAGATATTGTAATTTTCATTGAAAACTTTTCCTTAATTTTAGATCCTATTTACTAATTGTTAGGATTGGAGGAAGGCGTCTCTACACCTCTTGGGAATTAATTTGTAGAATTTCAAATCTATGCTTTTGCTATTTTGGAGGTGAGTATACTTACCATGGAAATTTACCTTATCTCTATCTTTAATACAAAATTTGAAAATATTTTTGAATTAAAGGAAGTAACACATTTCATCATAATATATGTATAAGAAGAAAATCTATAAATTTATTGAGGTCAAATGTTGAGTTTAAATAAATATATGATTTCATCTGTATAATGAAGCACTAATTTTTATGAGAATTTATTTAAGTTTAGTCCTTCAGAGTTTATGATGATGATGATTAAATGACAATGAAACGTCATGCGAGAGTATTTATTTTTTATTGATCATATAACCAAATATAGCCTTTGGGACTACAAGGGCCGAAATGCTTTGGGGTCCTGGGGACCGAAATGTTTTAAGGACCATAAGGGTCATTGTACATAAGGGGTTCTAGGGACCGAAACATTGAAATGAGAATTGAAGTGCTACGATAACAAGAGTTATGTTCCTTTGGTTATGTTTTGGGTAACGGTACCGTCACCACCTAAGTCGCGAGGTAACGCGACCCTAAGGCTATGTAGTGGTTCGTATGATGGACATGAAATCTTAATGTATTGAAAAGTTGTATTTTTGTTTACTTTCCTTATTCAAATGTATTTTTCCTGCATTATGAGATTCTTTGGAAAAATCTTGATAACGGTCTATGCAAAATTTTCTCAAATTTTATAAGTTTCAGTCCAATTAAGCTCTTATGTTTATTATCTTATTTTGAACCCAATTGGAAAGAGCAAGCTTTATAACTCCATGGGATACTCATTGGGCTCTAGCTCATTCTTTTTTTTAATTAATTTTTTTTCAGATTCCTAGACTTTTGTGTGGCTCGCCTCAACTTGGTAGATTAGAGTTTCTGGAAGATCAAATGTGAACATTTGGTAGTTGAGGTTTTGCTTAGGGTCACTCTAGGATGTAGTTTTATCTTTTGTTTTATGAAGTAGGTTGATTGTAAATATTTGCTTTGTGAAGTTGGATGTATTGATGGATTCATGAATAGTATGTTTTATTTTGGGGGTAGTGGTGCATGGAAACTATCTTAGTAGCATGATGATATTTTTGTCTTTGAATGGATCATCTCATATATGTTGACCAATCGAAAGGTCTTATGCACTATTGGTGATATGATATAAGAATTATACAAGTGATTATTGTGTACGGGTGTTATAGCGTTGAAGTGTGCCCTCTTGGCGGGAGTGTTATACTCTTTTAAAAAGAAAAGACAAAAAAGAAACCCATTAAAGAAAGCTCATGAACCAACCTTTCCAATTCAATCAACAACCACTTTTGTAGCCCCCAAATTGAAGTCCCCATTCCTTACTGTTGTTGTCTTCTGCACATAGAAGGCTTCATCAAAACTTGGAGCCATTGCACACTTTTACTAATTTCTATAGATATTTAAGATTTAATAACTACCCATCTTATCAAATGAGAATCATAGAATCATAGAAATCTCTGTTTTGTTCCTTGGAATGCTTTATAAGAAAAAGAGAATTCTTCACTAAAGAATGTATGCAAAAACAAGAATGAAAATAGTATGAAAACCCAAAAAAGATGAAGCACTGTGTGTGTGTTTCATTTTGGCATATGATCGAACACATGGTGGACACACAATTAAACAGTTGTGAGGATCAAGAATAGAGCCCCAAATAGACAAATTAGGAATAATTTCATAATAAACAAAAGGAAGAAGACACACCTCATTTTCTGTAAGTTGTTCTAGCTCATAGAACATACACCAATCCAGTATGTATGGTCAGAAATATATTGAAGGTTCTGTTTCGGTGACGAGTTTGAAAGCCCACTCAACTCTTGAAGATCTTCCACCGTTCCACCGATCGCACCACTCAACTCCTAAAGAGCTTATCGCTTGAGTCATGAGCTTATCCTTTCTTGAAGGTTCCTGCTGCTTGTGGTCTTCTTGAAACGGTGATAGCGGTGTATGCATTTTGTGCAAGATTCAAGAAGGGAGAGATGGTGGCCTCCAATTGGTTGGTCAATCGGTTGTAGATGTCGTGGCTATTGTCATTGTTAAGGAAGGATCAAGATAGGCATAGCTGACAAGAAAGGGTGAGCTGTAATTATGATTTGAATAGAATGGAGAGGTTGGTAAAAGGACTGTTAGACTGAAGTATTAGAACAGCTTCTATGCTTAATAACCAAGCATCAACGTATTACCACTGTTACATGTAAAACAAGCAGTAACGTTACACCAAAGGGCTCTGATTGAGAGCTCTAAGTAGAGCTGCTCTAACAGCAGCTCTACTGAGCTGGCAACCACTTTATAAAAAAAAAAAAAAAAAAAAAAAAAAAAAAAAAAAAAAAAAGGGGAAGGAAAAGGATAATTTAATGCTAATTTAGAGCCACTGTTTTAGAGCTCTAAAGCAATTTTCTACACCAAATAAGCAGCAGTGTTACACCACTCTTACATCCTTTTTATATATGTTATAGATTTATATGCTTTTAAAATTTATTTTAAAGGGTTGGTTAGGAAAGAGATTTTTTAGTAATTTTTAAATTTTTTAATTTAAATATGAAATAAAAAAATAATAAAAAACTGAAGTGTTTACAAATGATTTTTTAACTTCTTAAAAAAAAATTGTAAACAATAAAGAAGGGAATGAATTTTTTATATGACTTTTTGAATTTTTTAATAATTTATTTTTTAAAATTTTTTATTAAAATTCAATCTTCCAAACAAAACCTGGCACTACAAAAAATTAAGGTTTTAGAGATCAAAATTTAGGAATAAAATTATTTTTTAGGAACTAAATATTTTTGTTGTGAAAAATGTTGTTATTATATTTTTAGCAATGAAAATTAGGCATTAGTGATGAATTATTATCCTTTTAGGATCAAATTTTTTGTCTCAAAAAATAAACCATGTTGAGATCAAATTATTTTGTCCCTAAAAGTCTATTTATTAGTGACATTTTCAAAATTTTGTCGCTAAAAACCTTGTTTTTGACTTTTCGAGACGACCTTTTAGCGACTATCCTCATGACGATAGAAATTGATTCCTAAATATCTTTTACAACAAAATTTTTACTTTTAGAGATCAAAATATTTGATCTCTAAAACTCTTATATATTACCGTGTGAATGTGAACTCCACAGTTTAATACTTATCTTTCACATTTTTTGTGAACTTGTAATACATTTTGTGTCAAGAAGTGTTTATATGCCAGCAATTTTTTCACAGTTTATATCACAAACGTGTTGCATGCAACAATTATCTTCGAATCTTGATATTTTCACTCCATCTATATAATGAAAAATTCTCATTACATATTTAATGGCTATGAAATAATAATATTAATTTACAATTATTCTAAATTAAAAAAATATTGCTTGTTTTTATTTTTCAGAAAACACTTTTTAAAAAATTTTACATTCTTATTTTTCGTATTTTTTTTGTTTTTACTGAATTTTTTTAATATTTTAAGCAATTTTTTTACTTTTTAGACACACCTAACATAAATACACCTAAAAAGTAAAAAAATTATAAAAAAAATCTTTTAAAAATTCACTAAATACCAAAAATACAAAAAATATATATATATATATAAGAATTCAGTACATTTTTATATTTTTATGTATTTATTAATTTTTTTAAATATTTTTTCACAATTTTTTTACTTTTTAGATACAGCTAACTAAGGTGCATCTAAAAAAGTTTTAAAAAAAATGTTTAAAATTTAAAAAAAAATTCACTAAAAACAAAAGAATACGAAAATCAAAAAACTCTGTTTTTAAAAAACTTAATCCAGAAAACTCAAACCAAACACACTGATTATTATTACACTCATCATTAGATAATGTAATGAAACTCCCAATTAGAAATACGTAATAGAGAGAATATCTATTATTTATCTTGTACATATCTAGTGTTGCCCTTAAATACAAGAGACATGCATCTTATACAACTTGACAACTAAGAACAAACAAAATGCCAAACCAACCGATCAATCATATGGATAGGTAAAGCTTAATTTCTCGGCAATATTTATGAAATGACTAACTTATTAATTTGCTTTGATTTGTTTTTGTTTCTTGGATAATTCAGGACAACTGAAATTTCGGCAGAGGATTACAACAAAGCAGTGGATGATCTAGTAAACGTGAACAAACTGTTCACCCTAGCAGTGTTCCTGGGATTAGCACTGGCTACGGGTCGGCAGCACAGCCTGGGGAATCGGGCAGAGTGCGATGCAGGAACAATAGTCGCCAAGAGGCTAATTGTGTTCGAGGTCTTGTCCTTCACTTGCTTCATTTCATCCACCGTTGTGGTCATGGCAATCAAGCTTCATCTCAACATTTACCGTGGTGGTAGGACATTGAAACACAAGATAAGGGAAATAATGGTGTTTGTAGCAGGGTTGGCCACGTTTTTTGCTTATTTTTTCTTGATGCTTTCGATGGTTGATATCATCCAGATTCGGTTGGGGAAACTGTCGTGCAGGAGTTCCAAGTCTCTCGGAGCAGCCGTGTCCGTGATTTCTATTGTTTCTTCTGCTCTGGTCGTCTTTATGTTTCTCATGTTGCCTCCTTTATACAAATCCATCTCCCGTATTAAAAGCTAGAAGCAGGCCAATATATAAATTTAATAAGTTGTCAAAATAAATATTAAAAAACGTTTGGATTCATTCTAGCTAGCTATGTTTGGATCCATGCGAGACATGTTCCAAGTTGTTTGAAATATTATGTCCTAGTAGGGGCATGCATGTGTATATATATGTTGTATACATGTTGTTGTAATGAAAAATGATATATAAATCTACTTTTTAGATTCATTTTCTAAATTGAATAATGTGTAAATAATATGATTGGTTGGTAATTGAGAAGATATGAGAGTGAGTGTTACCTTCATATCCTAATTGAATGCCACATTATTATATGAATTTTATATGAAATACAGAGCCATGATGTTTGGTTCTTCTTCTTGTTTCTTGTTTGTGTTCTTTGCTGTGCGGTTATATATGTAGATTGTGAATTGGAGGCAAATAAGGGGCTGCCATTGATTATCTGCTACCTGCCATTGTTCTGAATTGCTACAGGAGTGTGGTTGATCTGTCAAGCTGGTTGAGCTTTGCTGATTGGTTGTTATGATCAGAAATGGGAAGGCTGAATTGTTGTTATGATCAGAATGGGAAGGCTGAGTTGTAATTTTCGCATGCTCTGTTGTATGTGTAATTTTTGCTGATTGGTTGTATTTTTTGAAAGTTTCTGCTGTATGTGTAATTTTTGCATGCTCTGTTGTGGCTGCTTTGCTTTGCTGATTGGTTGTTATGATCAGAAATGGGATGGCTGAATTGTTGTTATGATCAGAAATGGGAAGGCTGATTGGTTGTTCTGTTTCTGTGATCATCTGGAATGCAAATGGATCTTTGGGAAGGCTGAACTGTTAGTTGATAGGCTTCACTGGTTCGTGCAATGATTTTAGTTGATAGGCTTCTGCTGTGGTTCCAATGATTTCAGTTGCTTAATGAAAGCAAAGCTTGACAAAGTGGGGAAAAGCTGTTGCTCATTCAGAAATTATGATATCTTCCCACCTAAGACAAATCAGGGGTTGGTTTGGGCTGCTGGTCTGTTCTGGGCTGGAATAGCAATGGATGAGGTTGCTGCTGCTATGTTTGTCTGCTGCTCCTATCAGTTTGGCTGCCGCTTTGTTTTGCTATGTTTTTCTTTTGCTCTCTTTTGTTGGTTCCTCACCAACTGACGCTTGGAACTTTATTCTAGCTCCAAGCTCCTCTTTATTGATGTAATCTTTCATACCTTGTTTGTTTTCATCAATAAAAATTTTCTTTGCCGATCAAAAAATATATGTAGATTGTGTTTCAGTAAGCTTCCTTTATCATCTGGCATTCGAACTGTTCCATGCAACTTGTACATTGAAGTTTTTCCTTTCCTTTTTTTTTTTTTTTTTTTAAGAGTTTGTGCAAAGTGTTTATTGCAGTTTCTACTTATAACTTATAAGCTAAAAAAAATGTTAAAAAACAAAGAGTTATGCTAAGGATTCCAAATAATCTTTCAAATTTTTTACCGAAACTCTCACATAGGTGTGAAACCCACACACATATAGATATGTGTGGGTTCCACACCCGTATGGGTTTGTGTGGGTCCTATACTCATATGAGAAGTTTGGTAAAAAAATTAATAGATTATTTGGGGTATAGCGTTTTCCAAAACAAATTATGAAGCTTGGATATACTTTATGATTTCCAATTTTCAATATGAGAAAAGTTACATTAAATAATACTGTACCAATATACTTTTTGATTCGTATATTAATACAGTGTTATTTATTGCCTGCTCTGATATTATTTTTGAATGGTTGAATATCAACTTGTTTAAAAACTTAATTTATGTGAGAGAGATAATTTTATTATTTATATTATAATCTCAACACAATGAAATTGTCCATTTCATAATTAATGATAGTGAAACACGTAACATATTTTCATTTTGAGTTCAAACATAAATCTTAAATTTTAAATTGACATAATAATTAGAGACCATTACTTTTAAATTTTATTAATATGTTGCAAGTTTATATATTGGAATGGAGACCTAATAAATCTTCTTCATCACACTAATCTAATGATGTCACGTTGATAAATACTCTATAAACAAATGTAAGAAGGATCTGATGATGTAATTTTGTCTTGTGGGAGAGAGAAGAAAAATAATGTGCACAATTAATAATTGTTCTTCGTTTAGTTGTGATGAAAAGAAAATATAATGAAAATTTTAATTACTGCTCTTTTCATGACTGCTTAATTATCATTCCATAAAGTTTTAATCTAATGTCCTCAAAGTTTGAGGTAAAATACAAATCAAAATTATTTTCCTTCTCACTTTATCTATTTATTTATTAGTTTTAAGTAATTTAGCTAATTTTGCAGTTTGAAAGGATTGCCATAAAGATACTAGTTTGTTTGGTGCTCAAGCTTTACATAATGCATAATTGATCTTCAAGTATCACACAAAAGAAAGTTATGTGAAGCTTGTATTTGGGATTTCTCTGTTAAAGTGAAATTCAAATAGCATATGAAAGAAAGCGATAACGTTTTGTATTTGAGAGCGATATTTAAATATCGCATAAAAGAAAGGAATAAAAGTTCGTATTTGAGAGTGAAGATCAAATATCACATAAAAGAAAGGAATAAAAAGGTTTATATTTGAGATTTTTGTATTTAAGCAATCTTCAAATATCACAAAAAAGAAAGAAATAAAAGTTTGTTTTGATGTTTCCATGTTTAAGTGATCTTCAAATATCATAGTAAAGAAAGGAATAAAGATTTGTATCTGGGATCTTCGTGTTTAAGCTCACTTCGAATATCATAGGAAAGAAAGGAATAAAGGTCTGTATTTGAGTGAATGAAAAAAAAAAAAAAATTATATTTGGGATTTCTGTATTTAAGAGATATTCAAATGTCACAGAAAAGAAAAGAATAAAGGTTTGTATTTGGGAACCGTTTAAACAATCTTCAAATATCAAAAAAGAGTAAAGAATAAAGAATAATGGTTTCTATTTGGATGAATAAAATATATATATATATATACACACATATATCGGGGTTTAAACATGCAAATTTCTTTCTATCTAATACATATATATATATATATAAGATTGGACTTTTCTCATATTCACATCTCAATACTTCTTTAGATCTTTTGAGTAGATGATCTCCACTTTTTTTTTCTTTTTTTGGATAAGCAAAGAGAAGCTTTATTGATGAAGAGAAGAGACAATTCTTACAATCAGCAATAAAGTGAGGGGAAGGCTGCATACATTAAAGCTACTCTAATGATCCCAACAGATGGCACCACTTAAGAAGCACTAACAAAGGAAAACAGACCCAGGTTGATGAGAGACCAACCCAGGCAGAACATGGAACAAAATAGAAGACAAACAACACCCCCACACCACTAATACAAAAACCAAAAGCACCAGAACACCAAATACCACCACCACTAGTAGGCTTTGATCCTATCAAGAATATTGACTATATCCTCCACTGAATACTGCAGATCTCTAGTACTATGCTTGGACCAAAGTGTTACCCTTACTTTCACCAATTCAAATAATTCTAGCCCATCAACAGTCTTACCATGAAAAAGACACTCATTCCTTACTTTCCAAATTGACCACATTACAGCCAAAGAAATAGATTTCCACATTTTTTGAACCACCTTCTTGAACTTGAAACCTGCCCACCAATTCAACAAGACCTCAACTGACCCCGGCAGTACCCAAACCAAATCCCACAATTTCAATATATCAGTCCACACTTTCCAAACCAAAGGACAGAACAGTAGCACATGGTTAACTGTCTCCTCCTTTGCTTTGCACAGCAAACACATCGAACTGGCTTCCATGTTCAACACACCAATCCTCTTAAGAAATGTTGAAGTTTTAAGTCTGCCTTTCCATGCTAACCAACCACAGAATTGCACCTTGGGTGGGGCAATATTCTTCCACAGCATATCAGTAACACCAACAGCAGGACCTTTCAAAGACACCCACCACTTCCATGCTGAAGCTATAGAGTGTGAACCTGATGAACTGGCCAGCCACATGCAAGAGTCCTCAGAATCTGTTGTGAGTGAAGGTGCATCCCTAAGTAACTCTTGTAGCCTAACAAGCTCCTCCTGCTCCCAAGCTAGCAGAGGTCTTCTGAAAAGGAAATTCCAATCCTAAATTGATCCTCTCCTTTGATACATCTGCAGAATTGTACAACCCTTCTCCACAGATAAGCTATACAACCTAGGAAATTCCTCCTTCAAACACAAGTTATTTAACCACTTATCCTCCCAAAATTGGAGTCTTTGCCCATTGCTAGCAACTAACTTAAAATTTGATAAATAATGATCAACCAAACCAGGGCAATGTGCACCAATGTAAAGAACATCAGCCCACACTCTGGACACTGAACTAGACTCTGGTGCAGTAGGTACCCAGCTTACCCCACCCACGCCATATTTGCACCTCAACATCTGGTTCCAAAGGGCTTTGTCCTCCACCACCATTTAAGTAAAAGAAAATTATTGACTTCTCTCAGCTTTCTAACCCCCAGACCTCCTTGTGATCTATCTACTGCTATGTCCTCCCATTTCACCATATGGACTTTCTTCTTAAGATCAGAATTGCCCCACAGAAAAGCTGCCAGAATCTTCTCAATCTGCTTAGCCACGCCTACTGGTATTTTAAAAATTGATAAAAAGTAAGATGGCAGACTTGAGAGAACTGACCTGATCAGAGTTGATCGACCAGCAAAAGAAAGGACCTTCTTCTTCCAAGCAGCTAGCTTCTTTTTCACTTTCCCAATAATTGGTTGCCAAGTACTTTTTCTACTGGGATTAGCCCCAAGAGGTATGCCTAGATAACTAATAGGGAACTTTTGGGTGTGACAGTTAAGAATTGAGGCAAACTGCGTTATCTCCAAATCACTAACGCCAACCCCACACATCACACTTTTGTGGAAATTTACCTTTAATCTAGACAGCACCTCAAAGCGCCTTAAGATTCTCTTGATGTTCACCAATTCCCCCCTCTCTGCCTGACAGAATATAGTGGTGTCATCTGCATAATGCAAATGAGAGAATTTCATCTCATTAGGCCCCACACATGCGCCTTTTATAAGCCCCCTCTCCTTTGCTCTTTCAATCAAGATATTCAGGCCTTCAGCACTATGTTGAACAGAAGTGGTGATAATGGATCACCCTGCCTTAGCCCTCTTTGAGGTATGAATTCTGCTGTTGGAGAAACCATTAACCAAGACAGAAACTCTAGATGATG